CTTGCCATTACGGTAAAAAGGCCATGGAGTGGTACGCCGCCAACAACGTGCAGGTGGTTCCCAAGGACAAGAACCCTCCCAACACGCCAGAGCTCCGCCCAATTGAGAAATACTGGACTATTGTCAAGCGGAACCTAAAGAAGACCAAAAAAACTGCTAAGGGCGAGCAGCAGTTCAAGGCAAACTGGCTTTCTGCGGCGAAGAAGGTGGACAAGGTGGCTGTACACAATCTGATAGCAGGGGTCAAGCGTAAGGCCCGGCAATTCGGATTTGGAAAAGCGGAAGCCTAACTGAATATTTTTCCTGAATTTTATACTAATTGAACTTGAAAAAGAAATTTAATTTGATTTTTTAAATAAACGATTTCACCGATTTACACGCGTTTTCCCTTGACCAAATTTTGACCGTATCACCCTTTATTTGCTGTTTGTATTATGCAAACCGACCGCTATTTAACGAGCGAACGGCAGATTGCCTGGACACATCTTTTCCCAGTCCGGTATAATATGGTTTATAAAACCAACTACCTTTCCAGGATTTGCAGACCAAATTTCACTAGGTTGTAAGCTAATACTTCCAATAAATTTAGATCTACGCTTGTGTAATGCACCACAACTGCAGGAAGATGTTCCGAGGTTTCACATTCCAAATTACAGAAACGACACATATCACTCTGAACCCTACCAACCTAGGACAGTGCCCAGTTACTAGGCCAGTGTATATACTAAGAGCTCTTTTATTGAGCTCTTAGAGCTTTTTGGTCATCACCCTTTGCTCTTCCCAGCATTTGAGTTCCATTTTTACCGTACAGTATGATATTCCACATAATGGTTCTGGGCCAAAAAACTGTGAATTGGAACCTAACTTTGCTAGGTCGTTTGCCCTTTCATTCCCTTCAATGCCACAGTGTCCTGGTACCCAACATAAGTTTACTGAGTTCCGTTGGCACAGTTGCCGAAGCGAGAGAATACATTCCAGACCAGACGATCTTTGATGTACATTTGTAAGCACTCAGTGCTTTCAGCGCTGCTTAAGTAGCAGAAAAAAATACAAATATTTTTACATCTGTATTTCCTCCTCAGACAAACATGTACACATTCAAGTATGGCTACAATTTTCGCTTGAAACACTGTTGGAAAATGTCCCATCGCAACTGAAATATTTGTACCGGGGCCAAAGATTCCTGCACCTATTCGTACTCCAATTTTTGAGCCATCTGTGTAAAATAGGACCACCAGTTTCCCAATCCGAACGTGCCATTTCACATACGTTGAAGGGAATTTCATAGTTGTCATCTGGTTTCATCCAGTCTCCATTCATACTCATCACTGGTCATCTTTGGAAGTATTGTAAGATGCTTAGATGACCAACAAGATCACCTGGCATTTTTAGATCTTTTGAGCCTTTCCGCTTCTAGTTGCACATGTTCATGCAAGGGCACCAGATTGAAGATTGCTTCTAATGCTAACGTTATTGCAATACATGCTAGACGATGAAGTTTTGCTAGTTTCCTCTGTGTATTAGCCTCTTTTGATTTTGGCCCCCACACTAACGAAGCATAACACTCACTTAGTAGTATTCACAATACGCTTGAACGACGCAAATGACGGAGCAAGCATGTCCTTTAGAATCATTTCCCTTCCCTGTTCAGAAATTCTCTGCATATCAATCTTCGAAAAAAAAATCTATAAATTCATTCTTGATTTTCTTCGCATTTTAAAGCTTTATTCTAGGAATACACTGAAACTTCCTTCCATAATTCTAGTTAGAATTCTATTTAAAATTCCCAAGCCATTCACCTCATAATTGCCTTTGTTCAGAATTAACTTGAAGTTCTCATTTAAATCCTGCTGAAATTGTGCTTGGAAATTTCCTTCAAATTCTCTAGAAATTATTTTTGGGATGCCCTTGATTATCCTCGGAATTCCCTTAAAATTATTCTCAGAATTCCTATGGAATTTTATCCTCAAAATTCGATTTTCTTCATATTTTTCACAATTCCTGGAATCCTCTTCACAATCATCTTGGAATTTCAGGGTGTCGACTCAATGATCAAAAACAATTTCCCTGATATTCCCTGATTTTCCAAACTTCAGAAAGGGTTGAACTGATAGGAATAAGCGAAATCAACAAATAAAATAAGTTTACTGATTAAAGTTTCATACGTGAATCTGCAGTTTAGGTACCATAATTTACTGGAAAATTATTACTTCATGATTTAATTACAAAGTAAATTTTTAAACTCGTCATCCATTAATAGGCAGTTCCTAAATTTGGTTCCTATAGTAGAGAAAACCACTGTTTCATATGTATTCTATAATTTAAATTCTACAATTTTTTTTAAAATAATTTTTTAAGTGATTTTGATAACCTAACCAAGTTTATCAAACTCGGGATCTGGGTGGGTTCGAAATTAATGCTTAAGAATATTGGAAATTTGTACAAATCCGTGATCCATTTTTTTCAAGTCCAACAACTCACATTTTTTGTTTGGGTTTTGGAAGCTGGTGATTTTTTAATTTTTCTATGCCCGGATTTTTTTTTTCAAATCCGAGGTCTCGATTTATTACATATATTCGTATTGCCAAACTGTGCCCAATTTGAATGAATTCGGTTATGATCTAGATGTGCCGGTGAATTTATATATAAATATATATAAATATATATATATAAATTTATATGGGAAACGGAACAAAACCATTGATTTGCTTGACAACATTTCAAAAATTGCTCAATTTTCAAAATAAGCTGGCTCTTAGATTGAGAAAACTATACAGAACATCTTTGTCTAAATCGGTTCATCTTCTGTGCAAAAAGTTACTACTTTTCTACTGTCGGTGCTCCGCGCATACCTACAAGCTTCACACTACGAAAAAGTCATGTACACGCTATTTCAAAACTACCCAAATTTGGGTAGAATCCACCCAGATCGGTCAAAACTGAACCTACCCAAAAATGGGTAAACTGTGTTGGGAGTGACAAGTTGACAAATGAACAACATTGACATGAATCCGATCGACGTTGTTCATTTGTCAACTTGTCACTCTAAACACAGTTTACCCATTTTTGGGTAGGTTCAGTTTTGACGCTGAAGGCCCACGCACATCCGGATCGGACGCGTTGCGGCAAAGTGACAGCTAAATCTATTGTCTAACTGTAAAATTTACGTCAACGCAACGCCCTTGAGACCGACACATGCAAGCGGCCCTTTTTACAGAAGAATCAGTTAAAAGAAACGAGAAATTCTATTCAATCAAACGCACTTTTCGTTGATTTGCTAATGCTTAGGTTTCGGGACACTTAATTTTACACGATTTGTTTGTTTACGTTCCATGATTTACGTCAAAAATGGATTACGTCTCGTGTAAAAATAGAGATTTCTAAGTGTGTTAGGTATGCGCGGAACACACGGCCATAAATAAAAAAAATATAACTTTTTGCACAGAAGTCGAATCGATTTGCGGTCTTGAACGAAAACTATCTAAGTCCCGGATGTGGTAAAAATTGAGCAATTTTTGTACTTTTGGCATGCAATTGAACAATCCGTTTCCCATACAAATTATAAAGCTCTCCCGCAAATCCAGATCGTAACCAAATTCGTTCAAATTTGGCACAGTTTTTGAGGACCTCAATCTTAATATGACTAGAAATAGCTCTGTGGAGTAGGACACGGTGTCTCTGGTAGAAAACATTAATAAAAACTACAAGGGACAGCTCTATGGGGTTGTACGCAATGGTGAGGTAGGACTACGTGGTCTTATATACTAAACGTTATTTGTTAACTGCAGCAGGAGCTTGTGTTTTGTGTAGGAATAGGAATTTGAGCGGGGTTCTATCTGTTTATACTCTTTAGTATGACGCACTTGGCATAGATGGCCCACAGTGACTCACGAAGAGCTACTGATTCCGATCAATAGCGGTGCGGCTTCTTCCTCCTTCTATGGATGCTCATGTGGGCTGCAGCTTTCGTTGTGTACTAGAGAACAATGTTCAACGCCACGCGCCGGAAGAACTGCTGCTGCTGATGCCGTCGACTGGACACCACCATGCACGGTGATTGGAACTGAATCCGATCAGCGGTTGAGGCCAGTCTTGTTAGCTAGCTGCTTGCGGGAAGCCTTTCGCTGTGTACTGGAGAACACCACCACTCACCACGCGGTGATTGAATAAACAACGATTGGTGAGACCGGATGGAATCCAACTTTGAAATCTGTGTTAGGGAAATCGCTTTTCGGTGGCAATCGGTGATAATTTTAACCATCATAGCAATAGTTGCACATTCGTGCATTTTTCAACAGTGACATTTTGAAAAAGGATAAAATCATGCAACAAAACAGCCTTCAAACTTGAAACTGAACTGTCAATGAGTTATCGCCAATCGCCAGCAATGTACTCCATTTCCAATTTATTCACTAAACCGTTGATGTCTTTGCAGTAAGTGAACGTATTTTCGTCGTTTACAGTATATAGTTGCTGGTATTCAGCTTGGCGCTTAAATATGCATGATTTATGTGTTATGGTCAAAAACGTGAGAATACCTGCATTTTTTTAAGCTGCACCTTCACCCCGAAGAAGTTTTGATGTGAATAATATTTCGTCAGAAGACTGCGTTGAGAAATACCAAATAGTTTACGAGATATAGCCGTGCAAAACTAAAGCGCGAGTAAAACTATTGATGATGGCATAAATAACAATTTCGAACTAAATTCTTAAAACCCAAATAGGGTTTGGTTAGTTTGGGTTGGTATTTCCAGCAACTGAACTCCAAATTTTATTTACATTTGATGAGCTCGAAAATGTTCCACAGTATAATAGACCCTTCCCTTTAGTCGATTGTTCCTACTCAAAATGCCTTATTTTCTCTTCTCTAATTATCCAAACAGTATGGCTAGAAAATGCAGAATAAACATTGCAAGTGTTATTGTGACTCAACTTGAAAATATGCGATTATGAATATATAAAAATTTACTGAAAAAATCACACGAAACAAACATTGACTGACAAACCATGGAGCAACTAGCCCACTTTGTGACAAAATCGTTCGAATACAACAACAGCCGCGTGTTGGACATTCTGAATATGAGCGCCGTAGGAGGTGGCGTCGGCACTGGTGCGAGTAGTCGGTTGGGTGAGGACTTCCTAAGCCGAAGCTCCGACCCGGAACTGATGTCGAACAACAGTAGTAGTGGCAGTGTTGGTGAAAATGGCGACCTGGAAGAGGAAATTCATAGCCACACGTTGGCGCAGACCCAGCATCCTACCTCGCCGACGATGGAGGGCCAGGAGCGGGACGAAGACGAGGAATCGATCGATATCGAAATCACAGATTTGTCGTACAGTAGTGGTGTTGGTGGGGGAGCTAATGGTATGATGAATGGTAGTAGTGTTCAGAGTGATAGAATCAAACCAATTTCCTCGATATCGACGGTTGTGGAAAGCAGATTCAGCAGTGGCACTGGTACTAACAATAACAATGACAGTATAATTAGCAACCGGAATGAAGCAAGCGTAATTCGAAAGTACGACAATAGGCTGCTAGTTATTGAACGCGAAAAATCTCTGGATGATGATTTCGAGAAAACGATGACGAAAGCGCCGGTGATAAAGAAACATGTTCCGAAAAACTGGTTGATTGCCGATTTGGTAGAAGAGAGGAAAGGTAAGAAGTTCTGATTGAGGTTTGAAGAAACGTATTAACCCATCGCCATCACCCTGCATGCTTACAGACAAACACGACAAACCGAAACAAGACGTTGCCTTAAATCTGGTCCGTGCGGAGAGCGAACCCAGCTACAAATCAACCGACACAAATCTACTAGTCCGACCGAAACCCGCCTCCGAACTGTTGAAACAAAGCGTAGACCTAATCAACGGCCATGGTTATCCACCACCTCCGGCACCACCGACGCCTAACCCTGTGCAATCTGATGGAAATTCCAGCTTCCACCCATCGTCGCAGCCCACCCACACCAACCATGCGGACAACGACTCCGACACAGGTAAGCAGCAAGCACACGAAAGCGTCTTGACTTAATCAAAATGAAAGCATGATTTATTTAATCAATTAGCACCTACCACGGGGTAAATTGCAAACCGTTCTGCTGGCAGTTGTAAATTAGCGGATTAAGGGGGGTAGGAGGTGTTTCTTGGCTTTTTTAAATTAATTTCCTACAGAGCTGTGTTAACTCATCAATTAGCAAGTGGAAAAATGAGTTGGAAAAGTTTTTAAGCCCTTTCATTACTGTAAATTAAATGCTTTTTAACTGTTTCTGTATTACGGAGATGGGTATTTCGATGTTATTTCAGTTATTTTTTTTAAGTAAAAGGTTCATCAATGATAAGTAGTTTAAAAAAAAAACCTTTACTCATTTATAGCCTTAAACATTGCACTAAAGACACATTTTTTGCAGATTCTTAGAACGTTTACCCACTTTTCCCCTTTGCATAGATATTGCAACATAAAAAAGCAACCCTTCTCACACCCCTAGATTGCAAGTAGCAACCTAATCAAATTGATTACAGTTGAGTTCATAAACGAACTCTTCCACTCCTACCCCGTAACGAACCCTAAAAAAAGGCGAGAAAAGAGTTGCAGTAAATCCCTTCCCTTCCCCCTCACAATCGTCTTATTTCCCGAATGAACCAATTTTATTTGAATGCCGTGCGCCGGCGGAAATGCTTTGAATCACTTCTTTAGCTCTTCTCAACGCACTCCACCACTTGCCACCACAGCCCAAAGACAAACACTGAGTGCGATGAATAAGGAAAAGTCTACCGAACGGTTCACCTTGTATAGAGACTTGTATCTACTTTTCGCAAGAAAGGGCAGGAGATTATGTACCAAGGTAGCCTTCTTCTCCGACTGGCTCTTAGACTTTCGCCCGAGAAGACGTTCATTTTACTTAATTAATTAATTGGTTATGCCGGGTGAGATGACTTAATTAAATGAGAAGTTACGCCGGCGAGACGCTATGTAGCAGAGTTGCGTAGGAATGTTGTTCGGAACACTGGTGTCGATTGATGTACGGAATTCCATTTCCTTTGATTTTACATTAAATACCTAGGTAATAGCATAGAGGTAACTCTAAGACTAGTAGGTCCCGAAGAAAATCATTATTATTTTTGGCTCACTCAGTACCAGAACAACGGTCCCAAGCAGTCCCAAGCTATTTCACTCACCCCTGCATGTTCTGCATGAATCCACACACCCCTGATGTTATCTGTCAAACTTTCATAGCGAATCAAAACAAACATAGTGTAGTAATAGAATTTCAACTAGAATAGGGCACGTTAATCGTTTGCTTGGGACCAATAGGCTAGTCAAGCAGTGAGCCAATTTAAAATCGTTAGTTTCGTATTGATTGTTGGTAATAGTGTTAATGAACGCGTACAAAATTATTAACGGATTATATATTACAGCAAAACGATATAGTGGTTCTCAGAGTTTCGTAAAAAATGGTAGTTTTGTTCCTCATCGCAAAACATTGGACCCGTATTTTTTTTATTTTTTTTGTCATTAGGGTAGCCATTTTAATGTTAGGGTGGTCCAAAAAATCTTTTTTTTTTCGATTTTATTCAAAAATGATCTTTTTCAAAATTTCATAACTTTTGAACCACTAGGCCGATTTCAAAGATCAAAAAATCAATTGATTATTTAAAATGAGGCAATTAAAAACACTTTTATCATGTTACAGTCACTATGAATCAATGGAGACGCATGGTAGTCTAGTCGCATAGGAGTATTGAGCGAAAACTTAAACCTTGATAACTTCAAAAAATATAACACAAAAACGGAATATGTTGTTATGTTGTGCCTAAATTTTCACATTGAACTTTATAGATCCAGAGTGGATTAATCTTCAGTTATAAATAAATTTGAAATTTGTTTTTAATGAATTCTAATGACCTGGGAGTTCTGGGGAAAAAAATCTTTGAGAAAAACATCAAGTGCACTCTGCTTGCAAGGTAATATTAAATTTCATGTGAAGTTTGAGATAGTTTTGAGTAGAATTTCAAGAAAACCCTGAATTGAATTCAAAGTAAATTTTAATGAAAACACATAGGAATTTCTGGGGAGCACAATTCCTGTGTACTTCAGAGGCAAATTCCAATGCTATTCTGAGGATAAATTCATGAAGTTTGTGGGAGAAAACAAATCCGGAGCATAAATCCTTGGATGTATTTAGAGAGTACTAAGGAGGTGTGGGGGATGCTAAAAGGAGGATTATAATTAAATCTGAGATCCAGGAGATCTTCATGGGAGAGTTTGCCTGTGAGGAGAAATGTAAGGAATTTGTGAGGAGAAATGCAAATGAATTCTTAGGAGACTTTCAATGTGAGTACACGTAAACCAAACATGTATTAAATTCAACCTTAAAGGGTGTCCACGATGAAATTGCCACACACAAAATTGATTCGCAAAATTCGAGTTTTCATCCGATTGCCATCAAATTTTCAGGGATTGAGAAATAACTATTAAACTTCATTTTACCATTTTACTCGTATTTTATTTACAGTCCATACGCAAATGCCCGCACCTTGGCCTTAACCCCGGCCATAAGATTCTGCACAACCTGTGAATCAACCGTTTTTTGCATGTAAACCCATACTTTCTTCAGTTCCTCGACTGTCTTCACTACCTTAGGTCGTTTAAGAAGGTGCTGCTTCATAATCGCCCAGTACTTCTCGATGGGGCGGAGCTCCGGAGTGTTGGGAGGGTTGAATATTTTCGGCACGAAATTGACCTTATTGTCCGCATACCACTTCAGCACGTCCTTGGAGTAGTGGCATGAGGCCAAATCCGGCCAGAAGATTGTTGGGACGTTGTGAGCCTTCAGGAGAGGAAGCAGTCGCTTCTGGAGGCACTCTTTTATGTACACCTGTCCGTTCATCGTGTCCTGGGTCACGAAAGGTGCACTCCGCTTCCCGCACGTGCAGATGGCTTGCCAAACCAGGAATTTCTTCGCAAATTTGGACATTTTCTGAGTGCGGACATGCTCCGGAACGCTGAACTTATCCTTGGCCGTGAAAAACAGGTTGCCGGGGATCTGTTTGAAGTCGGCCATCACATATGTTTCGTCGTCCATGATGCAGCATTCAACTTTCGTCAGCATGTTGAGGTACAACTTCCTGGCACGGGTTTTGGCGGGCTTGTTCTGCTTCTCGTCGCGATTAGGGGCCTTTTGTACCTTGAACGTTCGAAGCCCAGCCTTAGTGTTGGCCTTCTGGACAAAACTTCGGCTTAGGTGCAGCTTCTTAGCCACATCCCTAACGGAGGCGTTCGGATTTCGGTTGAAGGCCTCAACTACGCGGTTGTGATTTTTGGTGTTGTACGGAATACTTTTTCCTTCACTTCTGGGCTTCCGATCGGTGGTCAACCGTTCCTCGAACCGCTTAATCACTCGCGACACCGTGAAATTCGCGATTCCCAACGTTTTAGCGATGGAAAGATGCGAGAGATCCTTGTTCTCGTGATGAATGCGCAAGATTTTATCACGCACGAGCTGTTCTTTCGACTCCATTTCCGCGAGTTTTGATCACAGGACTTTAAAACTTGCAGGATGTAAATAATGCACTATGAACTAAATCCACCCAAATTTTCATTAAATTCTACCCAACGGTTAAAAAGTTAGAGCAATTTCATAGTGTGGCAATTTCATCGTGGACACCCTTTAGTTCCATTTCCTATCATGATATAAGTTGATCTCGTAGACGATGTAATGGTTTTTTGCCTTTTTATTTCGTGATCTGTCTACCCTTTCAACTTGGGTTTTTGATCTAATATCCTTCCTACTAAGCACAACCCGCGCTTTACCACTCTTTCCTGAACGAGTTTAAACAAAAAATTGATTATTTCTGTCAAAAAAGACTTCTAAATTTATTCACCTTTCCATACGTTGGATTTGATAAAGAGTCACAAATTGTTGAGATATTGTTTAAAATCTAATACTGCTTCTTGATTCTAAATTCCGTCCTAACGCATTAAAATGCCATTAGATTTTCTTCGTCCTACGGATAAACGTAGAAAAAGAGGATTTTCTTGGAGCGTTTCTTTTGTTTTGAGAACAACGAGCGTAAATATTTATACAATGCACTCTAACAGGATTTATGTTGTAGCAAATGAACCAACGCATCGGAACAAACCTATTATTGATTTGTGCTCGGTGAAATCATTGATAGTATTTATCCTTTCTGATAGATAGAACGGAAATGGGGCGATTACGACGAAGTAGAGCTCTACCCTATACCACACAGCAAAAAAAATAATTTTAATATCACATCAAGGTGGTGTGGAAACTGCCGTCAATGGATGGCAATCGATGTCCGTCGGTGATTGGCACTAGATTGCGGAACAGAAACCGACGTTAAATAAAGGTAACTCTAAGACTAGAAGGTTCTGAAATAACGTGCTCAACTTTTTGGCTCAGCTCTGGTACTCTCTTCGGTCCCAAGCTAATCGATTCACCCCTCAAAACATAGGAAAAACCAATAACCCCTCATTTTACCTGTCAAACTTTCATAGCGAATCAAAACAAACATTGCGTAGTACTAGAATTTCGACTAGAATGGGGTACGTTAATCGTTTGCTTGGGAACAATAGGCTAGTCAAGTAGTGAGCCAATTTAAAATCGTTAGTTTCGTATTGATTGTTACTAATACTCTCCACATTTTTCTTTCTCCATTTTCTTGCATTGGACCGCAACTCGGTATATCGCATCCTCCGTGCATAAGGTCTCCACTGACATCCTCCGATGGTGAATTCCGCATACAAAGGTTGTACATCATACTTAAAAATTGGCTCACCAGAAGGCCTTTGTGTGCCATTTACCATCTAATTGCTTGCTTTAACTTGCAACCTCAACAAGATAGAAGCATAGAGGTAACTCTAAGACCAGAAGGTCGTGAAGAAACGTGCTCAACATTTTGGCTCAGCTCTGGTACTCTCTTCGGTACCAAGCTAATCGATACACCCCTCGAAACATAGGAAAATCCACGAGCC